GTAATGCTTATGATACCCACTACGAATCATTGATAATGATGCTCTTACAATCACTTTAGTTTGGTAGTGATTTTTTAGGGCAACCTTACCTGCTACTTGCTAGTGTATGGGTGGTGTTATATTCCTGTTTCTTTATACAAATTCATATGTATTTACATGTTATTTCGAAAGTTGTTGTATATATATATTATTTTGGCTGATTTTAATTTTTGAAAAAAAGGAGAAGGCTGGTAACGTGAGGAGTGACGAGAGTGTAATGGGGGAAAAGTAGAACGTGTCGCATTTTCCTCTTCCTCTCGATTTAATACGCATCATCACTATTTATCTTTTTTTCATTTTTGTTTGTTAGTATTTTTGTTTTTGACGTCAAGAAAATGGAACAGTTTCAAGTCTTGTAATCAATGCAAGTTGCTTCCGAGTTAGTGATCCTCGTATTATTGTGTTCGCAAATATCTATCATCACTAATTTGGAGAAAAAGTTGCAAAAAAAAAACACAATTTACAGAAGTTGTATTACTTACCTAAGAGAAAATGTTTCTTGATTTAATGTGTTTTTTTAATCCAAGGACACTAAGACAAGAAGGGTAACAAGACGAAAAAGAAGTGAAGGCAAAAGTCACAAAACACAATCATTGAGTTTTTAACAAATCATAATCCATTTGAAGCATTGAAAACTGTGACAAACAATGTAATAATCCGTCACAAGCATTGCTAAAAACAAGAAAAATTATCATATCATTCATCGAATCAGAAAAGAAACGATAGAAATCGTATAACAAAAATGATATAGATATGAGAATTGTGAAAGAGAGGAGGAAAATGCCACTGTCTCGAATAGGTGAGGAGGAAGAACAAAAAGTACAAATTTCACAACACAAAATACGAAACATACAAAAATTAGATAATTATGTAGTCCAGTAGCAAATTAACAAAACAATATAGAGACGACAAATCTATATCCAATCCGGTTACAATACAATTTACTATGTAAAGTTTATCAGTAACCATTGCAATTTATATTTTTCATTTTGATAACTGCTTCTAAGAATAATGGTTGCATTTTCTTCTTGACTAACATTTTAAGCAAACACATAAGGGAAAAATGGGAACTGAGATAGAATATAAAATTGGTAAAACATGATAACAAGAAGAGTAATAATAGATCATCATCCATCAAAAACGAGTCCAAAACCAGTCACACTGGCGACATAACATTAGTTTTTTTCACCAACGAGAAAAGAAACAAATCTATAATAATCCTCTAAGCTCCGATGAGGACAGTTGGTTCCTCAGCCACTGTCTCATCCTCCGGCCTGTCCACCTTCACACCAACATCCTCTGCTGTGTAATCTCCATGCACCTAACAAGAATATAAAAAAAATTAGAGCTTCGATCGTCTCCATGGCAAAACCAAGACCAAAGAATGAAACAAAGACGAGATTAATGTGGATTTAATTCAACTCACCTCCATGAGCTTTCCGAGGTCGAACTTGGGAGCCTTGAGGATCTTGACTTTACGGATAAACGTGTTCTGCAACGGGTAGATGTTCTGTGTAACCTTCTCAATCTCTCTTCCAATGGCCTCAGGGATGAACTTGGCCACGAGCTGCTTGAGGTCACAAGATGAAGCCTCCCTAATCATTATCTCCCTCATCTTTCTGCGGATCTACAACGATCCAGAAAACATTACACTGAATCAAACACAGTTTATGTTTACAGAAAGCCAATAATAAACACATGTGTTTGTTATCTACCTGGCGGACTTGGCTGGATTGAGCATAGCAAGTACGCTTGACCTGGTTAGGACGCCTCTTAGTGAAGGCGATGCAGAACAGTCTCAAGGTGTAGCTGTCTGTGGTTTTCACATCAACATGAGCTTCAATCAAAGTCTGCCACTTCTTCACCAATGACCTCAGCTTGTCGGTAGTGAAATCCATACCCTACGCATATTAAGATAAAACACAGTACATTGTCTTATTATTCTCTACAAACAACATAAGACCAGGAAATTTCTAATAGATTTTTATAAAGGTGTGGTCTTTTTAACTTACCCAGAATTGGGTCAACACATTCCTTCCCTGAACATCTTCAGCTCTGAGACGGATCTTCCTGTATGCATTATCTTCATCTACTTGAAGATCAGCAAGAGAAACCTCAAAAACCCTGTGTTTCAATCCCTCAGAGGCAATCTGTTCACAATCCCACACAGAAAACCAAATTCAAATGAACAATCTGAAAGAACACACACACTTTTCCACATAACAATGCAATTTCTATCACTCCAGTAATGAAAGCTTCTATCTCTACTACTATCATTTCACCTAGAGATCACTAAACCCTAATGGAACAAACAGATCAAGCAAATTGTGAATCAAACTCCAATAAACAAAAGACATTACCTTGGTACCCTGAGTCCTTGAGACAAGTGTCTTCCCAACATTTCTATTGGTGAATAAAGAAGGAGCCTTAACGTCATACCAATCCTTCTTGGAAAAAGGATCAACACTGCAACATCATCGATTCAAAAAAGAGACGATTCCTCAATACACAGAATCAATAATGGAAATCTGAAGAATTTAATCTGGGAACAAGATACTCACATCTTCTTCTTTCCTCCTTTACGTCCCTTGGAGATCCTCTTGTTCTTCCTACAAAATCGCGTACAAAACATAGATCAGAACATGATACTCCAATCTACCAAATGAGAAATTCCGATACAGATTCTGGGGACACTAAGCGAGGAAGAGAGAGAGTGTTTACCCGACAGCCATGGTTACGAATCTTCAAAAGTGGCGCGAGGTCGAGCTACACAGTGAC